GACTTACGACAAGAGTTATTAATTCATCTTACAGAGTATAATTTTTTTAGCGATAATGAACTGTTTTCTCTTAATCAATCATTGGATTTCTGTAACATCCCAAGATTTTGTCATTTATAGTCCCTGGGGATAGAAGGGTGAAGCCGTGAAAGTCTAAGGGCTAAATTGCAATTATTGGGATCAGGAGAAGTACGTTGCGCGTACATAAGGGTACGCTGAGCGTACTAGGCGCGCCCTAGTACGCTGTGCGTACTCATGGCAGAAGGAAACCCTAATATTTAGGGTTTAGGGACTATATAAGCAACATTATGAGCACAAGACCCTCCCTTACCCCAACCTCCACTGCTTAGAGTCGTTTTCCCCAAACCCTAGCCATTTCCTTGAGTGTTTGAGCTTTTTGAGTGTTTCTTGAGTGTTTTAAGAAGAAGGTGTTGCATCAAGGAGTTGGAGAAGAAGATCAAGCTTGTAGATCTGAAGTTGGTTTGTGCCCTAGAAGCTCCAGAAGGTAAAAAGCTTGGAACTTTATACTTGTATGAGTTAGATCTAGTCCTTTTAGCTTTATGGAAGCATTCTTGTCCCAAAAGTCCTAAGATGGTGCATGTTATGATTTGGACGAAATGAGCTGTCCTTTCAGATCTTAAAGGAGGTCCTAAGTGATAAAAATGGTGTCCCAATAGCTAGAATTGTCTCATGCATTAAGTAGGAAGGTCTTAATGGATTAAGACCATGTGTTAAGAACTTTCTGGACGTCCAAAGTGATAAAGTTCGAGACTTTATTGTCCTATGGCACATTTGGTCGATGGATCTGGAGTTTAGGCTTAAGTGCTTAAGCCATTAAGCACTTATTAGGGTTTTGGTGAAACCCCGCGTACGCCCAACTTAAATCCAGTACGCACAGCGTACTGGGTCAACCACCCCGATGGTGGTCAGCATCAGGACGAGTACGCCCCACGTACGTCCTCTGTTGGGCCTTTGGCAATTGGGCTTCGAGTTTTGGGCTGTTTATGGACTAGTTGGATTTGGGCCTTTGCTGGACTTTATGAATATAATGTTTTGGGCCAATTTTTGATAATGGATCTTGGAGTGAGGCCCAATTAGGGAGTTGGGCCCGATTTGGTAAATTGGGCCAATAATGGGTTTTGCTTAAGGGCTTTCAAGGTTATGGAATTGGCATTGGGCCTTGGCCCAATAAAGAGAATGGACATGATGGATTGTGTGGACCCCTAGTCAAGATTGTTATGTTGTGTAGTGACTTGGTATTTATTATGTGATAGTTCGGGATTTTGGCGAGGCAGCGATTCAGGAGTTCGATTCTTCAGTTCAGACCGGCATTGCGAGGTGAGTTATCCTCACTGTACTCAAGGGTCTAAGGCACCAAGGCCGACCCTTTGATTTGTTATTTGGGATTATTACTGTTGTGATATGTTAGCTCGGTATCCTGATAGATATGATGGTTATATGCTAGTATGATCTGTTAGATCGGTATCCTAGTAGATTAGATGTGGTTATGCTTAGTGACCTATAGTGTGGTCTGACTGTCTGTATGCTGGTAGGAGATTACCTGTTATATGTGCACATGGTTGATTGGTAGTTGAGGGTATTCCATCCCGAGGATGATAGGACCCTAGTATGTTGTCTTTATAGACTGTTATATGATTATCTGATATAGGTGCACATGTTTGATTGGTTATGTGGGCATTCCAACCCGATGGTTGTGGGCCGAGAGTATTCCATCCCGTGGATGATTGGACTCGTAGTATGTGGGCATTCCAACCCGATGGTTGAGGGCCTGGGGTATTCCAACCCGATGGTTGATCGGACCCATAGTATGTTGGCATTCCAACCCGATGGTTGAGGGCCTGGGGTATTCCATCCCGATGGATGATTGGACCCATAATATCTGTTATGTATGTATTGTGAGTGGGCATTCCAACCCGATGGTTGTGGGCCGAGAGTATTCCATCCCGAGGATGACTGGACTCGTAGTATGTGGGCATTCCAACCCGATGGTTGAGGGCCTGGGGTATTCCATCCCGATGGATGATTGGACCCATAGTATGATGTTTGTTATTGTATGTGTATTGTTGTGTGTATGAGTATTTTGGGGGTAACTCACTAAGCCTTCGAGCTTACAATTTCAGTTTATTGTTTCAGGTTCAGCGGATGACTGCGGGAAGGCAAAGGCGTGACCGTACACTTCCTCGATTGATGATTATGATTTATGGGAACTCTGATGTTTTAACTATTTTGAAAACAAATTGTAATAACTGAATGATTTTATATGATTTAAAAAGTTTTAAATTGGCTCGAATTTTATGGATGTTACAATTTCTATGAATCACCGGTGATTAGGATATATTGGATGGTTATGCAGGACGCTAGTTTTCTAATTGCTAACAAGTATGATGTAATTGTTTATTTCTTAAGTAGACTAGGCTCTTCGACATGCTTCTCACTTTGGGGTGGTCCAAAACACTACCCAAATCATAGAACTATTGCTATTGCCCTCGTTTACGGTAATCATTATGTGAAAGTTGATTTACAGGAAAGGTATCCAATGCCTACTATTTTGCTATTGTGGCGTTCTCACATATCACTGTATGTTGCTGGATGGGAATCTTTGTATAGTGCTAGACTAAATGCTTATGTTCAACCAAATAGACTACCAAATAATTGTGATATAGACACTCTTATTGTACCATATTATTAAAAAATAAGTGATAGTTCATTTACTATTATTTAGGGTAAATTACACCAATCGTCCCTCGTGCATATGCCAGAAAGCGTGTTTAGTCCCTATTTTTAAAAATTAACTCGGACCGTCCCTCGTTTGGTTAAAAGTTGCACACCTCATCCCTCCGGACATAAAAGGACGATTTTGCCCTTAATAATTTCTTTTTTTATTTTTATTTTTATTTATTATTTTTAGATTAAAAAATAGAAAATAAATATGCACCGACCCACCCTTCCCCTTCCCTTTCCCCAGTTTCATTCCCTTTGTCTTACATTCTTTTCGAGTGCTTGAGAATAACATCAAACACCTAAACAGCTCCTCCTCCTCTTCTTTTTTCCGGCAAGACCAACCACATATACTCTTTATCTTACTTTCTTTTCCGAGTGCCTGAGAATAACATCAGAATCCGGTGACTCAGTTACCCAATAGGTTCGATTTTCCGATGAAGTAACTAGGCTACCATCGCAACCCACCAAGCTATGTTTGTGATGCAATGACCAGATGAGGAGGGTGTGGAGATCAGGACAATAGAAGAATGGTTTGAGGAAATCCAGGGTTTTGTTATCGATGGCGGACCTGAAGCCACCGATGAGGCCATCGGTCTACACCTCAAGCCCTCGTTGGAGTCGTCACTGCCGCCGGAAACCTGAAGCTCCTCCGGCACCACCGCATATCAATGTGAGCACCAACTCCTATTGCACCACCACCTGTCACCGCAAACATATTCCCCTTCCCTTTCCCCAACAACCATCAAAGCTACCAATTTCAATCTATCACGAGTTCACGACATCTCACTGCAATCGAAATCAGGTCGAAGATGAATCCATCGAAATAAAATCAAACCGATCTTGAAACTCAAAATCCAAATCGAAACCTTCATCAGTTTCAATTTTTGGATTTGAGAAGGAAGAAGAAGGAGGGAATTTCCATTTTTATCGAGTGTGTCTCTTCAGCCTATTTCTCTCTCTGTATCCTGCTACATCTCCATCTCACTTGCCATCTATCTCGATATCGCATCAGACACATGTGTGTGTGTGTTTTCTATTACTCTGTTATCTCCGATCTATAACAACAGTGTGAGGGTTTGTAAGTGAAGGAGGCAGATGGGTTGGGAAAACTAAGAGTAGGTGTTGAAGAAGAATGAGAGAGATAGAGAGAGAGAGAGAGAAGGTGGTTGTAGTATTTTGCAGCATAACTAAGAGAGATATAGATTAGAGAGAGTTGTTTTTTTTAAGTTATAAATAATAATTAATAATATTAGATTAATTAAAAAAAATATCCAAGGGCATTTTAGTCATTTCAAATGGGGCGTGGACTACATTTGCAACAAAACTATATTTAAGGGACGAAACGTGCAAGTTTTAAGCAAACGAGGGACCGTCCGAGTTAATTTTTGAAAATAGAGACTAAACACGCTTTCTGGCATATGCACGAGGGACTATTGATGTAATTTACCCTATTATTTATTTATGAATCATTTTTTAATGTTTTCATTGTTAATTGTTAATTCTATTATATTAACGGATGAAAAGGTAATAAAACATAATCTAAATCCATTAGACTATTTAGGTGCATGATATATTAATGAATTTATATGTCAATTTAATATTAATAAATTTAACAGCAAACCAACATTTATGTACGTCATAATCTAAATCCACTCACTAAATCGTATGTTAATTTTAATATAAAAAAACAAAAAGTAAAAATCATATGTAAATTATAATATAAAAACAAAATATATAGAAATACTAAAACATAGATAATCCGAACGAAATAGTCCGCACAAACAAAAGAAAAAAAAATAGTATTAATAACCATAATAATCATATGTATTTAATAAAAATATTAAAAAGAAAAAATAACTTGTATAAAAAATCACTACAAAAAATAACACATAGATAATACGAATGAAATAAAAAAGTATTTTTCATAATATTAATAATCATATATATTTAATAAAAATATTAAAAAGAAAAAGAAAAATAGAAAAAAAAACAAAAAGGCAACTTTAGTCAAAACAAAATATCAAATCAGATTATTATCAAAACAATTAGAGAACAGTTAGAGGTATGTAAAGAAAACCCTTTTCAAAAATTGTTTTCTCTTATTGTTTTTTAATGAGAATGACTTTTCCAATTTTTTTTTACAAATATAAATGTATTGTTTAAAATGACAATTTTTCAAATAAGAAATAAAATATTTTTTGAAAAATACCCTAGCATTTACAAAGGAGTATAACAAGATTTTGTGAAGGAGAAATAAAGTTAAAGTAAATGCTATTCTATGGGGTAGAGATGTAAATTGACATTGAATGGGGAGAGAGAAAGAGCGAGAGATCCTACGGCTCTGCTAAGCCTCGCTCGACTCCATCACTTTTATCGCTTCTCTTTTTCTCCGCTTTTTCCCCCTTCTTGCCTGTACTCTAAGCTCGGCTCCGATCCGGCTAAGATCCAGCTCCCACCATTTTCTCTCCTGTTCGATCTCCCTCCTTTCTGCTTTGCACACCTACACAGACTGACAGACTTACAGTCAGTATGCAGCTTTGCCTTTTGAAACAGAGTTAGATGTAGGACATTCAAATCTCTCATGTGTGAGTTCAATCCACTCGACCCTTTTACGGTTTCCTTGCTCGATTTGTGTATTTTGTGTAATTTTAGAGCATTTTTTTACAGTTTGATTTTGCTGATTGAAGTTTGTTGAGGTCGAGAGTGAAGCCCCCAAAAAAGTTGTTGGCGCTTTCTTGACTTTTCATGCAGTTTGGGGTAAATTTCTACTGAATTTGTTGATTGATTTCCTGTGAAATTGGATTATTTCATCAGTCTAGTTTGTTTTTCTGTGTGAAGCTACTTGGATTCTTAAATTTGTTATAGTACATCTTTCAATTTTTGTGACTGTTGAATGTTTGATTATTTCTGTGACTCAATAGTGTTCATGTACACCCTTGAGACACAATATTTGAAGTTTTAATATGCAGAAATGAATATATTGTTAAACCCTAATTCGTTTGATTATGCAAAATTTCTCCATCTATGCAATATCATATTTGTTTCTTTCCATAACATATAAGACTATGAAATGCATGTGTGTTGACATCCGATTATAGCACATTATGCTTTGATGTAACTAAGAATTCGGGCAATGTAGCATATGCAAAATGTGTTATGGACATATGTTTTATGAAAAGAACTTGATGGAAAATGTTTGCTAATGGGTTCATATGTGGAAAGTGTTATGGAAATATTGTGCATCTAAGGGTTGTTTTGATGTGTGTTTTCAAAGTGATCATTGCTACTCAAAGAATCAGAATCAAAATTACATAATCAGTTAATGGAAGTTAAAGATAATTAGGTAAGTTTACATTTATCTCACAGAATAGTCATTTTTAAATCGATCTTTGTCTATTTATCCTATTCTGATTATATATAGTATAAATTTTATAACCATATATCAAAGGCTCAGAACTGAAATAATCACTTTAGATGCACATCCAAACACCCTCTAGAAAGAGGATTTTTCCAGTAGCACTTTTGTTTTTGCATTAGTAGGTTTGAAATTTGAAAATTAGTTTTAGTTGATTTCATTTGCTTATGAATTAAAGTTTCTTGTTATTTAAGATTCTTTTTGGTTGCATACTTGCATGTTTTACTAAATCTAACATGTGAACTTTCTTTATTTCATATTATTGCTCCAGGCAGGTGTAGTTGGTGAGAAATCTGGAGTCTTGATGGATTGGAACGTAAGCACTGCATACAAAAATTTAAAAGGTACTTACTTGATTTCTTGCCATATATATTCTACTCAGTTGCAATTATTTTTATTATTGAACTTGATTGGAATCAAATGAGAGGTAAGTCGTGAAAAAAACATGAAAATTCAGATGCTTTAACCAATGCCCATGTTGCTTGTGAAAGTCCTTGTAGTGGGAGAACCTTGTTAATGTTAGATGTTGTTTCTCTTTTACTTAATTGGGACTTAATGGAAACATGACTTAGGGGCTGTGTAGGTTGTTCCTTTTTGACTTAATGAGCTTATGGGTAGGCACTTAATATGGACAATTATACATAGTTGTTTCATTTCGACTTAATCTGGACAAAATGACTTAATGGGTTAAGCCAAAAAACGCGTATTAATGCATTACCTATTTCTCTTTCTTCTTTTTCCCTCTAAACTCCTCTCACGTTAAAAAAATGTTAAAAATGATGAAGATTGTGAAAATATCTTTTTAGAAATATATGGTAAATCGGTCATTTAGTATCATTCAGACGATTTATTCAGTCCAAAATTATGTGTACAACACTTTATGTAGAAAGAATGACATCTATATCTAAACTCTTGGTTTATTGATTTTTTAGTCAATTCATTGACTGAAAAAGGATTACAGTGATTTTATTTTTTTCTTGTTTTCTTAAAATAGATATGGAACCAAAATCTGTGATGGATGTGGCACTCATTCCAAACATGGATCCAATAGATGTTACACCAGGTACCTCTGACAAAGCAAACAATTCAACAACCAAGAAAGAAGACCATGACTTCAGTTTACCTCAAATTCTTTGAAACAACACCCGATGGCAAGAATCGTAAGTGCAAATTTTGTGGACAAATCTATTCAATTTCTACAGCCACAGGTACTTAACTACTTACTTCATCTGCAAATCTCTTTAAAATCACACGTTAATATATTTCTTGTATCTTTAACATTTTTCTTTATTGTTGAAGGCAATTTGGGGAGACACCTCAGCAACCGTCATCCAGGGTATGATAAGTTAGATGATAGCATCTCCACCCCAGGCTCACAAGCAATAATTGTCATCAAGAAGCCTCAAATCCAACCCAAAACATCTCACATTGAACCCGAACATCTCAACTGGCTCCTCATAAAATGGCTCATTTTAGCGTCTTTGCCACCTTCCACATTCGAAGAAAAATGGCTATCCAACTCCTTTAAATTCCTCAGTCCACCTGTCCAAATCTGGCCCACTGAAAAATTCCAAGCAGTACTCCACGAAGTTTTCAGAAGCATGCGCGACGACATACGGTGCATGTTAGAAAACGTTTCCTCAAAAGTATCAATAACCCTAGATTTTTGGACATCGTATCAACAAATTTTTTACATGAGTGTTACTTGTCAATGGATTGACGAGTCTTGGTCCTTCCGAAAATTTCTTCTTGATATATCTCGGGTTCCTTCGCCTTGTGGAAGTGCAGAGATATATCACACGCTAATCAAAGTGTTGAAGTTTTATAACTTAGAAACTAGGGTTCTTTCGTGTACTCATGATAATAGTACGAATGCTGTTCTTGCATGTCATACTCTTAAAGAGGACCTTGATAGCCAAAAAGCCAACCCCTTTTGCTACGTTCCTTGTGCTGCTCGTACTTTGAATTCAATTATAGATGACAGTTTGCGATCGACCAAATTAGTGATTTCAAAGATCCGGGAGTTTGCATTGGAGATGAATTCATCGTCTGAGATGATGGAGGAATTTATTCAGTTTACAACAACTTATCAAGAAGGGAATTGGAAGTTTCCACTTGATGTTTCTTCGCGATGGAGTGGCACCTACCAAATGCTTGATATTGTTCGTAAGGTATAAAGTATAAACACACAATTAAAAAAATTTCATGGTAAAAAAGTAAAGCATTTAATTATTTTTTATTTTCTTATTAAAATATCTAGGCAGGTAGATCTATGGAAACTTTAATTCGAAAGTATGAAGAAACACATGGTCGATTACTGTTAAATTCAGCCGAGAAAAACGCAATCAATATCATGCATTCATATCTCGAGCCTTTCTACAAGACCACAAACGACATATGCACGAATCGCCTACCAACTCTCGGACTCGTTCTCTTCTTCATGGACCACATCTCCGAGACCATAACCGCCTGCCGAGAGTCCCGCCACACCCCCGATTGGCTGAAAAACGCGGCGGTTGACATGGCGGGAAAAGTCCGAAGCTACAACGATCAAGTCTCGAATATTTTCACATACATGACCGCGATTCTCGATCCCCGAATCAAAATCGAACTCATTCCCGAAAGTCTTAATTTAGAAAACTATCTCGAAGAAGCAAGGAGCCATTTCGTGAGAAATTACTCAACTACCCATTTCGCGTCTGTCACAATGACGTATGGGAGTACTCAAGAATCGGAGGATGGAGGAGGGGTAAATGTGTCTTTTGCGGAGGAAATTGCACGGAAAAGACGGAGGGCGAGTATGGGGACGGCGACGGATGAATTGACACAGTATTTGTCGGAACCGCCGGCTCCGATTCCGATCGATGTGTTGGAATGGTGGAAGGTGAACAGCGGTCGGTATCCGCGGTTGTCGGTGATGGCACGTGATTTCTTGGCGGTGCAGGCGGCGGCGGTGGTGCCAGAGGATTTGTTTTGTAGTAAAGGGGATGAGGTGGAGAGGCAAAAGGAGTCGCTTCCGTATTCGAGTATGCAAGCGATTCTTTGTGTTAGGTCGTGGACGGAAAGTGGGATGAAGTTGAAATATAAGTCGACGGAGATTGATTATGAGAGGTTGATGGAGTTGGTAGAGAATGGGGGTGGTGGTTTTGAGAAGAAACAGAAATGAGATTAATGGAAGGAAGGGGTAGGATTGTAATTTGGAGAGGGATTTGAGTTTGTTTGTGTGTTGGTGTATATTTAGGTCTTGTAGTTTGTTGATGTACAGATTACAGTGGATAATGATTCTAACCCATTTCTTACCATTTACCTTTTACAACACCACATGTTAACGCTGAGCAGCTAACTTATTTTTGAGTTTCTTTTAAGTTAGCTAGCTTTTTTTTTTTTTAAAGTCAAAAATCAGCTTTATAAAAAGTTGTTTAGATTAGTCTTTCAAAGTTTTTAATTTTTTTTTAAGTATATCTTTAATTAATTATAAAAAACATATTCTTTTAAATATTTTTTTATATTAGTTTTTATCAAATATTATTTTTTATTGATTACTAGCTAGCATTTCAAATAATATCAAACATAGCCTACTATGCAACCTTCATTTGCAACAAGATAACCACATTTGACACTAGGAAATATTTTGGAACTTTTTCAAGATAAGTGAATAGAAAGGCAACCATCTTTGATCATTGCTATTAGTCTACTTTTTAAATTCTAGCCAACACTCTTTTGGATGTTGAAAACAATTTTAATAATTTTTTAGTTCATAATTATTTTAAGTTGTATAATCATAAATTTTTATGAGAGTAAATTACATGAATGTTCCATATGGTTTAGAGTAATTTACGTATTTGGTCTCTAACTTATTTTTTAACTTGGAAGACCCTACTGTTTGTTTTTGTTACGCGTTTGATTTATGTCTTATCTAAAAAACTATTTTGCCCTCAATTTTTTAATTTATTTAAATAAACACACCCCAACCCCTCACCTTACCTTACATACCCCCAATTTTTCCATATTTAAATAATAGTATTTTTAGGTAATACAGGTACCAGACGCATAACAAAAACAAACAATAGGAACCAAACGTGTAACAAAAACAAATAATATGGACTTTCCGAGTAAAAAAAAAAAAAGATATGGACCAAACGCACAAATTACCCCAAACTATAGGGACCATTCGTATAATTTACTCTTTTTATTATGTAATGGTCGGTCTAAATTCAAATATATTATTTAGACTATCTTATATAATAATAATAATAATAATAATAATAATAATAATCTGTTTCGGTTCATATGTCAAACATGATATATTTTTAGTCTCAAAACCCATAACTTTTTTATATCATTATAAAATACAGTTAAATTCTTTACATTGTTATAAAGTACTCACCGAGTTAAACAAAAAGTCTTTGCAACCGATATATTTGAGGGGTTTTTATAATACCATTAATATATAATATTTTATCTACACATATAAATGAAACATAAATATATTCTTTGTATTAATGACGATATCTAAAAGATATACATAAACAAAATTCAAAGCTGAAGGAAAAATGTAAACGGGCCCAAACTGATAAACGATATAACAAAAAATACACCATTTGTGATTTACTTTACGCTATATCTTATTAGAAAAACAAAAAACCCGACAAGTAACAGTTCCCTGCAAATCGTAAAAAACCCTCGTATTCAAAACCTCCGATTTGATTCACCAATGAAGTTTCAGCCTTTCTGCCACTAGTTCTTCTTCCCGATTTCACAATTCTACAGTCAATTGTTGATGGGAATTATACCATCGAATCACCACAGCTCCCGCCGTCGTACCAACTGATAATCGCGATGGACCCTCGCCGACCGTCCCGGGTGATCGATCCCAAAGTCCGGAAGGTCGGCTTCTTCACGCCTGGCCCACCCCCAGACCGCACCCAATCTGGCCCGGCCGCCACCCCTCCCACCCAGTCTCCTGTCTCCAATACCCTTTCTCCCGTCATGATTCCACCTGCTCGCCATGCGTCTGACAACTTGTCTCGCGCAGTTGGCATGCCTGTTCCGGCTGGTCTTCAATTGCATGCCCATCCGCCGGTAGATAGCTTGCAAGTTGGGAGCTATACTTTGTCTGATTCCGTTCTCAGCCCTTCTCCGACTCAATCGCCGTCGAGCCGCGTTGGACTTGACGGAGAATTCTCCGAGGATTCTGTTAACTGGATGAAGCGGAGCAATTCTGGAAAATTCGCGGCTGTTCTTCCCACAGGCCGTGACTTCACACAATCAATCGAAGCATCTATCGATGGTAGTACATCAAATCCAGTACTTTTGAAATCAATATTACTGATCTTGTTAAATTTGTCAAAATTTTTATAGTGGTGATTGTCTCACAAAGCTGTGTTTTTATAAGGGCTTAAAAAGGTTAACAATTATCTGGTAGAAATCATTACCTGTTCACTGAACTGACAAATCTCATTGATTCATTCTTCCCCACACAACTAAAGCAATGCACATATTTTACATAGTGTCTGCTTTCCATCAATGTTTGCCACACAAGTTGTTTGCAGTTCATATAATATGTGACAGGGTCAAAATCCATTTTGTTACCCAAGATCTAAAAATTGCCTTTTTAATTTTCCTTTTGCAGAAAACAGTGGAGACCATGTTTCTGAATTGCCATTGCAAAAAAATCCAAAGCCACTAAAGGCAAAAACAACAAAGGCTGAGAGACGTGCTTTACAGGAGGCTCAGCGAGCTGCAAAAGCTACTGCCAAAGGTTTTATCACATCATCATTATGATTATTATTATAATGATTATTATTGTAATTTGTGATTGATGTGCTTTTAGTAGGTGAGGGAAGTAAGTCTGTTGCTACTTCTGCCACGTCAGCGCCAGCACAAACAAGTAAACCAGTAAGACAGCCGAATCAGAAAAAAGAGAGTGGTCCACTTTTGGTTTCTTCAACATTAGTTAATGAGAAGAAAGGGAGTGAGAAAGCAGTAGAGAAAGATAGAAAAAAAGAGGTGCCACCTCCACGAATGCAATTTGATGACAAGAATCGTGTTGAAAAAGCTAAAAAGAGGTCAGTGGTCAAACAGACTGAAGCTAGAAACAGAGTCGAATTGTTTAGGCATTTACCACAATATGAACGAGGAAATCAGCTTTCTGATCTTGAATCCAAGTTTTTCCAACTTGATCATGTGCATCCTGCTGTTTACAAGGTATGCAGCTAATTTTCTTCATTACAAGAAGTCATCAAGTGTCTAAATCAATAAAATGGTGAAAGTACAATTGCTTTTCTGTATTTTTCCCTTTTAAAAAAGGACCCATAACAATCAAAGCTTAAGGGATCAAGTAATACTAATAATCATATAATGTGTTTTTCTTAGGTTGGTTTACAATTTTTAACTGGGGACATAATGTGGAGCAATACCCGTTGCATTGCAATGCTACAAGCATTTCAAAAAGTCATATTAGACTACACAACACCACCTGAAAAAATCCTAACCAGAGACCTAACCTCAAAACTCAACAGTTCAGTCTCATTTCTAATCGAATGCCGACCCCTTTCAATCAGTATGGGAAACGCAATCCGTTTCCTAAAAGCCCGAATTACCAAAATACCCCTAACCCAAACCGAATCAGAAGCAAAAACCTCTTTATGTTCAGACATCGATCGTTACATAAACGAAAAGATAGTTCTTGCAGACAAAGTAATAGTCGGGCACGCGGTTACCAAAATCCGCGATGGTGATGTTCTTCTCACATACGGTTCATCGTCTCTCATTGAAATGGTTTTATTGCATGCTCATGAACTTAGGAGGCAATTTAGGGTTGTGATAGTTGATTCGCGTCCGAATCTTGAAGGGAGAGTTTTGCTTAGAAAGTTGGTTGAAAAGGGGTTGAGTTGTACGTATACGCATATAAACGCGGTTTCGTATATAATGCATGAAGTTACGAGGGTTTTTGTTGGGGCGGCTTCTGTGTTGGCTAATGGAACGATATATTCGACGGTTGGAACTGCTTGTATTGCCATGGTTGCTCATGCGTATCATGTCCCGGTTTTGGTTTGTTGTGAATCGTATAAGTTTCATGAAAGGGTGCAACTTGATTCCATTTGTTCAAATGAATTAGGTATGCTTGTTTTTTACTCAACACTGTGTTTGGTATGCATTGGATTGGGACTGAGACTGGATTGGGACTGAGACTGAGACTGATGTCAATGTGACAAAAATTACAATTTTTTTTTCCATCCAAAAAGTTGGAACATGATGGGACATGGACTCGCTCTAGATCTCTCGTCTGTGCAAAAGACGAAAATACCCTTGTCATCCTCATCGTCAAAAATAGCCCTAGAAAGTTTGTCTGGTCCTGTCCAGTTTTATCCAATGTAACGATAAAACTGGACAAGCTTTATTACAGGGCTATATTTGATGACGAGGATGACAAGGGCATTTTCGTCTTTTGCACAGACGAGAGATCAGGAGCGAGTCCATGTTCCACCTTTTTGGATGGAAGAAAAATTGTAATTTTTGTCTAATTGACATCAGCATCAGTCCCACTCCAATGCATGCCAAACTCAGTATAAGATTTGTGGGACATTTCTTTATGTTTTGCATCTGTAAATGTTTACAAAACAGGTGATCCTGATGTGATAGCTAAGGTTCCTGGAAGAAGAGATAATTGTTTGGATGATTGGGCTAGCAAGGAAGGCCTGCAACTTCTGAATTTGGCGTGAGTGTACAAAAAGTTTCTAGTTGAAATAAAGTGAAGTTATCTATCATTCTATGCTGTTAACAGCTAATGATTTGGATTATGTGCAATTAATTAATTGTAACAGGTACGATGTGACTCCTGCTGATTATGTGTCGATGATAGTCACTGAACATGGCATGGTAAGTCAATCCACATCTATTCCTTTGTGGCATCTTGAGTTTGTTTGATTGGAATTACTTTATACATTTAATTTCAAATTTAATTTGTATGGATAAATCATATTTCAGATCCCACCCACAAGCGTGCCTGTGATTGTGCGGGAGTATGGGCGAGAGCATATACTGATATAATACAAGAATTGAGTGTTTTTGTTTATGAATGATTCTTTGTGGATTTTTGCAAACATGGTAATTGTGTGGTATGTAATATGGTTTTTGTAGACTATAAAGTTTTTGAAAGTTTTTTTTTTGACTCCCTGGTTGTGGGACGGGAGCATATAAAGATAGGAAAATAAGTTATGTAATGGAGTACATACACTCTTATTATGATTCGTTTAGCCGAAAATTTTGGAAATAAGTTGTTCATCTACTGATTGAGTATGTCTATTTTTGTTGAGTTTTTTGTTGTATTTTGTTATACATCATTCAGTGTGGCTGCTAAGCCGTACATGTTTGATGTTTTGTTGTTGATTTCATAAAGATTGTGTTTGTTACATGTGACTAGGTTTATAGGACATTGACAAACTTTTCTTATGGGCTATTTTCATTAGTGAGAATTTAGGACCTAAGGTGTAGTACTTGGAGGATTAGAAATAGGCAATGGAAAATATTCTCCTTCCTCTTTGGTATATCTGTATTTAGTTTTTCCATATTCAACTGATACGACCTTGGCTCCGACCACCAGAGGATGCGCTTCTGCGTCAGAAAGAATCTATAAGGTCACAACAAGCAAGACCGTCAGCCGTTCTCCGGGAGGTCTCGGGAAAACGCTCCGGCGGTCAAGTCAGTGGGGAGTATCTGGGTGAGATTGGTGAGAACTAGGAGAGATCGCTTACTTCTCAAGGCGGGATGGAGGTCATTTTATACTTAGGATCCTTGTTGGTTCGTACGAGAGACAAGGACTGTACCTGATTGGCTAATCGTGTCCCTTGTAGTGTCGAGACCAACGATTGGCTCAGGCACGCGATGGGGGTGTTAAAAAATATCCGTATCAGAAAACCCGATCCGAAAATATCCGAAAATTCGGATATTCGGTTATTCGGATTCGGATACAGATAGCGATTTCATAAAAGTTCGGATATCCGGTATCCGAAATCTATATATTAACTATTTTTAAATACTTTTCTAGTTTGAAAGGTCCACTTTAGAAAGCCCAAACACAAAAGGGACGTTGTTGTACTTGGTAGGGTTAGGTCGCAAATCTTGAAATCTCAGTTCTTCCGAAACCAAAGCGATCAATTCTCCTCTCGATTCTCCTCGACCTCAAGACCTTCGAGTAGACAAATCTTCAACTTTTTCGAGAGTTGTTGACACTAGACACAGAGCTTCACAATTACTAAGTTCTCATCTTCTTCAAGAGCAACGATCGAATAAAAGAATCTTCCCCTTTTGTGAGTTCGGCTCATCCCTTTTTTTATCCGGTTAGCTACTAGTATAATACATGTGTACTAGTATAGTACATGTCTACACATGTTATATAATGCTTTTCTTTTGTTATGTTACCAGTCTACTACTATACTACATGTAGTTGTATGTTTTTGTAGTTGTATGTGTAAATAAATATGATTCTTTCTTTCTAATGTTTTTGTAGCTATTTGTGTACATAAATATGACAGACTCTTAAATTGTACTTAAGTGTGTTATGGATGAAAGATTTGAATGATACTTAAATGTGTTATGAATGAAAGATTGGTAGAACGAATGTGGTAGACTCTTTAAAATGTTAGATCACACTTAAAAAGCACATGCACTTTAGAGTTTGGAGCATTTAAAGAGTTCATTAACTATAAACATAAATAAGATACAAAAATCGTGAAGTCCATAACATTTGTTTCATGATCATTTATTGGAAAGTTAATCTTAAATGTGCCATGTGTACATGTAGTTTATTGACCATCTCATGTCAGTAATGCAGTTATTTATTTATTTATTTTCCTTATTTATTGGACAAATTAATCTTAAATATACATGATTTTTCTCACGACAATAATGTAGTTTATTCTTTTTATTATTTTAGGTAATGTATTATTTATTTTTTGCACTAATATCAATATACAATATCCTTTTCAGATTTTCACAATGGACGCAGACAACGTTGGTACAGTTACATCCAAATGCGAGTTTGTGTCTGAAATGAGGTGGCAACAAACACAAAAAGGAAAAAGAGAAAAAATCAAAAGGCCTCAAACAAAAAAGATGATGCAAAACCACCCGTCCAGCTCCGCCATCTACAGGATCACATGAAGGAAAAAAAGATCTATTTGGTGGAAACATTTTGAAAAAACTGAAGTTGTTGATGTTGCTGAATGTATACATTGTCATAGAAGGATCGGTTGTGCAAGCATAAATGGGACTACACATTTGAAAACCACGTTATTGGTTGCAAACAAAATCCGCAAAACATAGATAAAAAACAAAAACTCATTGACCTTTGAGTCCAAAACACCTATTAGTGACGATGGTTCTATTGAAACTACTACAATTCCTAGGTTGTGGGAGTTCAACCCAGAAGTTATCAGGAGGGCACTTGCTAGAATGTTGATAGTTGACGAGCTGCCATTTTCTTTTGTTGAGCATGAAGGTTTTCGTTATTTTTGTAAGGTGATGAATGTCCATTTTAATGTCCCATCACGTTCTACCGCTACACAAGATTGCTATAGTACTTTCATCGAGGAAAGGAAAAAGTTGTCGAATATTTTTGCAAATTTGTCTTCCAGAGTATGTCTTACCACAAATACTTGGACATCAGGACAAAATTTAAGTTATATGTGTTTGACTGCACACTTTATAGACGACAATTGGCAGTTACATAATTTTTTTTTTAATTTTTGTCCAATAGTTGGTCATGCTGGGGTCCTAATTGGTAGATCGGTCGAAAAATGCTTGATAGAATGGAACCTAAAAAACATTTTGCCATAACGGTTGATAATGCTAGTTCAAATGATTTAGCTATTAATCATTTAAAAAAGGTTTTTAATCATTGGGAAAATGGTGTTTTGAAGGGATCTTTTTTGCATATGAGATGTGCGGCTCATATCCTAAATTTGGTTGTTAAAGATGGCCTAGATGATGTGAATTTATCAATAAAGAAAATCCGTACAATTGTGAAATATGTCAGGTCATCTCCGACGAGGCTCCAAAAATTTAAAGCATGCATTGAAGAGGAGAAAATCGAAAGCAAGAGTGTTGTGTCTATGGATGTCGATACACGTTGGAATTCAATTTTTTTGATGCTTAAGAGTGCTTTGAAATTTAAGAAAACATTCTCAAACTTGCTTCCGAAAGATTCAAATCTAACTATCTAAGAAAGAATTCAATGGTTTCATGGGTTAGTTTGGGATAAATGAGTATTTTTTTGGTTAAAAAGCCAATAAGGATTTAGGTAGTTTAATAATTTTCTCATAAAAGATTGTATTTAGTTAGATTGTATATTAAAAGATAGAGAAATTAATTCTTAAATATACGAATGTTTGTTTCACATCAATTAATTTTTCATTTTTTTTAATATAATAATATTTTTATATAATATGAACCGGGTATTTTTTTAAATAACTTAATATTTTTAAATCAATCCCTTATAGTCTTATAAAAGTTGCAATTAATACATTTTATTTATTAAACTTTTAATATATACTATCATCAATGTATTAATTGGATAATAAAAATATTAATATTTTTGTTATTTTAAACCTATTTTGTTATATAATCGAGGGGTAAAAGTCACCTAAATTTATGTTTATTTATTTTAAAGTGATGTGATTTCTAATTAGCGGTGTTATTCGGTCGGTTTTTTGGATTTTTGTTTTAATCGGTTTTATCGGTTTTTTTATATCTGAAAACTAACCATAACTAAACCAAATAAAGTTCGGTTAATTGGTTTTGGTTAATTCGGTTAAGGTTTATTTTGCTCGGTTTACCGGTTAAATCGAATAAAATTTCACATTTAACAATAAATATTAAACTAAAAAAAATTTACTAAACTTTTAACAAATGAAAAAAATACACTAATGCATATTACAACTTTAAAAAATCAATATATTAATAACTTTATTACAACTTTGTTACAATTTTATTTGTCTAAAACAACATGTTCACTAGTACGATTTGTGGCCAAAAACTTCTCATTACATCTAGTCGTTTTTTATACGGAGTAGCCCATCCTGTTGCACAAGCATACCTGAAATGATGTCACTATGGCGAAATAGTAGGCATCAGGCATCCTCCATCCAATGTAACTTTGACGTAATGATTATTATTTTAACATATCCAATTGCTCTTACAACATGTTGATACCACATCGATGGAATAAACCGAAGTGGTAGGTATGTATGACTTCCCGTGTGATAGTTAAAACATGTAGTATTACATTATATCTTGAAGCAATGAGGATACACATACAACATTATCACCCAATCTATTAAGTCTTTATGAAAATTGAACACCTGAAAATGATATAATAATCAATAGCTAGCAATATTCTAGATGACAACCTTACTACATATATATATATATATCAATGAACTTAAAATTATACCATGTTGGTTTGAAAACTTGAGTCATTGATGAAGTAACTACTTTCTTTCTCGTTTTCATTTTCGTCGCCTTCATATACGTTTGTATCAACACTATTCGTCTACACAAAACACATGTTAGTAGTTACAACTTATAAAAAACAATTTAAAAAAAACGCTTATATAAAAATACGTCATAATTCGTTTGATCATTGAATTGAAAATACTCTTCACAACCTTCATATGCTTTTGTATGAACATTATTCGTCTACACGAAACACAACTACAAGTTACAACTTATAAAAAATAAAATAAAAAATAAAAACAGTTATATAAAAGTACCCCATAGTTCATTTGATCGTTGAATTGAAAAATACTCTTCACAACCTTCATATGTGTTTACATGAACATTGTTCGTCTACACGAAACACACGGTACAGGTTACAACCTACAAAAAAATAAAATAAATAAATAACAGTTGTATAAAAATACCTCATAATTCGGTTGATCGTTGAATTGAAAATACTTTTCCCAATCCGCCACTACTTAAATGATATAAAAACCTTGTGTTTATAACTTTTTTTGAGGAAAACTTCTACTTTAGTAAGTATTTTTAAGGGATAATGACTCGAAAGGGTAATGAACTTTTGATTTTGTTCACATTTAGTCACTAAACTTTTTCTCATTATCTATTTGCCACTGAACTATTAAAACTGTTTATATTTGTAACGCCCGACTCTCAGGTAATAATTTAGGGCGTTAATTTTCATAAATTGCTAGGTCTACTCGACGAGTTGGATGCCCTGACTCGTCGAGTAGAAGCGGATTGGGCCACGTGTTTAAGCGACCTACTCG